CTCTCTCTCTCTCTCTCTCTCTCTCTCTCTCTCTCTCTCTCTCTCTCAATAGATTCCAGATTAAAAATTCGCATGCGGTTTTAAAATAGTTTTCGTTATTTGCAGATAAATCCGTGCCTGCCATTGCACCGAACTCAATATGGTCTATCTCAAATGGAAATCAGCTTCATAACGGGCTCTCTACACGAAAAACAACCGGTTCGGCTGAATTGAAGCGGGAACGTACGTTAAAAATCATACACAAACATTCATTAGGCAATTTCAAATTGATGCAAACAATCAGATCGAATTTTTCTGTCTTGGTGTTCGCTCAAATAGCAACAATTTTGCTGCTGTTGTTGTTGTTGTTGATAAATATCGACCATCATGGTATTGAAGTTGTTTACTGGTTTCAGTCCTTCGACTGCGTAGTTCTAAATTTTAATCGAAAATTAAAGACCAATCGGTGAAAACGTATCAAAATTACTTATATACCGCGTTGCTTCCGCTTACAAGCAATAATTACATTGGCGCACATACTTTTCTTTTTGATAATTGAGAACGAATGGGAAAATCCTTGTATTTGTTTCGGCGAAAAAACATATTTTTTCAGCTACAAATACTGGTATTTTTTTTTTACTGAAGGCTTTTGATGGAAGAAATCGTAATTTTTTTCCTTCTACTTACGCCCTTGTGTCGATTTGATGAAGTCTTTTTATTTATGTGATATTATTATTACATGCTTCTATCGACGTCTGACAGAAGAAAAAATCACATCGCAACCACGTCGCACTCGCACGAATATATAATTATTGACATGTAAACAATGGCACAACAAATCAAAGAGTAATTTTTTAGTTTACCCTCCAAATCAACCGAATCTCTCGTGTGTTGATTGCTGTTTTGGTTGCTCGATTTTTTCTTGTTTACTTTTTTTCTGCACCTTTTTTATTTGTTTTGACTTTTCAATCACTTTTGGCTAAAAAAAAACCCGAACTAGTGTGTGTTTTTTTTTTTGGATTTGTTTCACGTCACTTAGAATTTCGGGATTTTTCTTCGTGGTAATTTAATCGCTAGCACATAAATTACAGTTGTAATACACTTCGTGACAACATGCGATATTTTTTGTTTGGTCTCCCCGCCGCCAAAATTTGTTTGTAATTTCCTGCAAATCAATGCACATTAGCGGTAACGGTAAACATTTAATCGTCTGTCAATGGGTATGAATTGCCATTTTCACCATTAGTCTTTATGTTTTTTTTTTCTTCAAATCAACATGTTAATTTTCGCTATTTTTCGCTCGACACAAATCAATCGAGAGATATTTTTCATGCAGAAAATTCACCACGTGCTTTTGTACATAATTACACTAGTATCCATTACATCGAAAAAATCATTAAGATTGTGTCGGTGTCACCATGGATGCAAGTCCGAAAACCTTCTCACACAAATGATATAAATGAGTTTTTGAATGCGCGCGCGAGCAGGATTAAAAGCGGAAGTAAACAAAAACAAACGATGATAATAATAATGAGAATGTTGACAGCAGTAGAGCACTAGCAACGGCAGTGTGATGTTGCCAATGAGATGTACACGACGACAACAACGACAGCTACAACAACAGTAAAAACGTTTACGGTTCCCGGAGAAAAAAAAACAACGAAAAGAAATTCTTCGAAACAAAACGCTCGATCTTCACCTGTCTTACTTGTTATATTCTCGTGTAAAATGTTCACGCGACTAACTGTCGACGATGCACAGCAAAAGTAGTGGATGAGTTTTCCCAAAAGTTCGATTTTCACCATGCACACGAATCGACGAATGTGTGCGAATGCGATGAAAATTAAACTAGAATCTACAATCTATACACGCATACGTCGGCATTGGAAAAGATATACAAAGGAGACAGTCGTGACACAAATGAGCACTGCATACATATAAGCACAACGACACACAGCAGCAGCAGCAGCAGCAGCACTGCAATCAGCCTGCCATTATTTACTATCACAAATGAACTCTCAACACACTCCACACTAGAAAATCCCCAAAAATTCAACTCACACACAATTCGCCATGTCATCCACACAATTTGCACACAACTAAAGCCGAATTGAATTTTTCGAACGAGCCATACGAAGAAAATGCAAAAGAAATGAGAAAAGCACTGAATGGGACCGAAAAGAAAAGAAAACGCTACCATTCGCAGGGAAAGCTCACCAACCGACCAAGTCGACTACGCTCTCTCTCTCTATATATATGTATAGAATGAGCTTGTTGGTGATGTTGTGCAAAAGCGTCTTGTCACATCTATTTTCATAGCTGGTGCAATAGCGATTTATCTGTGCGAATCCATTTAGCTACGATGTACACGACGCTCGAAAACGACGACGACAACGACTACGATGGCAAAGAAGAAAAAATTCCAACGTCTGATGAGGTCTGGGCGGTCATTCTTTTTAAATAATATACTACATAGAAAATGGTTATGTATAGAAAATGTGGCATTGTCTTCGTTTTTGGTAGATCTTTGGCTGTCGCGCTGACGTTGCCGTTTTTCTCTTGCCGAAATTTCTTTCTTTTGCCCAACAAAACTTCGGCTTCGCTCTTTCACTCCATCCAGCAGTTGCTGCTTCTGTTGTTGTTCTGTGTCGAACGAAATTTTTCCATGCACACACACACACACACACACACACACTAACATACACAAAACACGAGCTCTGTGTGCTTGTGACACGGAGCTTCAGCAGAATGAAAATTTATCGAGGAAAAATGTTCGCTGCAGAATGAAATATGAAAAGCAGAATTAGTCAGACCGAGAGATGAAAAAATACAACACCGAAATGTTTCGATTGAAAGCATTGAGTGGGGAATGAATTTGCCATGGTAATGGTATTGGGTCTTGGCTCAACGTTTTCTTACACCAATCCACAGACACGATTTTTTTCCGTCTCAAATTCTGTTTACGATTTTTTCCACTGCCTTCATTTCTTCGCATCGACATTTTTCACAGAGCACTTTTTTCCCATTCGAATTTTTTTCTCGCTTTGGATTGTTGTTGTTGTCATTGCATCAGTATGTGTGCATGTATACACGAACGATTTTTTTTCACTGCGCCAACGTAGAACGCGCACCCACATGTCCAATTGAATATTTTCCCATAATACACAGTGGAGCTATAGGATTCTGATAATGTTGCGCCGCCTATACGAATCAGTGCTTCGCTTCCACTGGCGCTGATAACACAAACATTTTATCATTTTCCGCTCTTTTGAATCGCCAATTTGCACTCGCCTACAAAACCGATTTCCACTGGAATTCGCAGCCATTGGAATGATATCGATTTCGGTGCCGATTTCGTGTTTGAATTCAACAAATCAAATGAATAAAATGAATTGGTTCTTATTTTGAAAACTTTGATTCTTACCGCCGAAAATTTTAGTATTTCATGTACTTTCACGCTAAAACCAAATTACGACTGTTTTGGAAAAACAGACAATTTCATTTTTTTATTGCAAAACGTTTTTCAAAACGCTCGTTCCGTTCAAAAGCCATTTGTAGTTTTTGAAACGACAAACAAAAATACCCACATCCATGAGCTGCGCCTATGCGAAAATAAAACAAAGTGCACATTTTGTGGTCTTCGAAAACGGCTGCTTTTCGAATGATTCATTCCCCGCAATAAGCTCATTTTATTTACCGCAATTTTATTCAAATGATGACAACAAATACTGGCAGTAATATTCACCCATTCAGAATTGGCATAAATTTTGAAATGCTCTTTTTTGCCACTAAATATATTTGCGGCCGTAAATAATGATAAACACTGGTGGTAATCTTTTGAGAATGTCGTCGATTTTGGTTTTTATAGCAAGCATTTAGAGGAGATTCATAAAAATCCGCCAGATCAATATTTTATGTGAACATCTCCTTCTTTTTGATTACAAGTAAATAAATCTTCTTGGTCATATTGCAGACGGGTAACCATCTTATAGTATCTCATAGTCATTTTCAGCCACCAACACTGATTTTTTTTTTATTCGCAGCACACTATAAATATGTAATCGTGCGCTTTGAATAAAAATTTATTGTTTCTATTTGCTATTCAAGGGAAATATCATAATTTTTACGACGACCAGCAAAATATGAAGCTAGACCATGGTCTAATTTATTATGCAGAAGAAAATTGGGGTTAACACCCAATAAACGGCAAACAAAACAATGGATTTATGCCAAGCAGCAAACGAATTGTTTCACGGCCTGAGCATAAATTTCTAGGATAAAATCCAAACGCAAAGTATAAAATGCTAATGGAAAAAGTAGCATGCATAAAAATCATGTGTGTTAATACTGTTTAATTTTTCAGGAAAACGGCCATTTCCTGATGGTCAAATAAATATTTGTCAGATTTTTTTTTTTCATGACACCACCGAGCGTGTCCGCCAAAGAGTGAGAGGTGATGAAAATTTAGATAAATGATATGATATTTTAATGCATGCCCTTTGAACGAGCTGGAATAAAAAAAAATTACACTTTTTCCCGGCTTAATATATGTATGTGCATGGGGGAATATGTAATGAATCTGCAACTTGTTGACGCGCGCGTATTTTTTTCCCTTCCAGTTCAGCTCATTGTTATTCGGCATCAAGAAGCGTGAAATTTTCGACAGAAACGAATTTGCATAATTGGACGAGTAGGTGTTCATTTCGCTCGATGTAAGTTATGCGCGCATGCAACAGCAACACCGGTAGAGACTAATTAGTTTTTTTCTTTCTTGGCAATGCGAATTAATTGATTTTTTTCTCACTGAGAAAAAATTCATTTGTAAGAGAGGAAAGAATCACAAGCAACAATTGCTCGAGAAAAGGTTCATGAACATTTTCTTATTTTAGCTTATGGTCATGAAATAGTCGAGGAGTAACCTACTTCCACTTATTTAAATACACTTCAAAACTAGGGTGAGTTCTTGTTTCGATTGAACTTTACGCATTGTGTGCAGACACACTCCAAACAAGAGAATATAAACATGTGGTGCAATAACCGCTACTTGAATTCGTTTTGGATATTTGTGAATATATGTGTCATGAGCCGACGAGGGAGAGCCGCCGTTTCGTTCAAACCCCATTGACTGAATTTTAAAATGAACCTTCCGTACATACATACTCGAAACAAATTTATGACAAAAACTCTTGCCAAAATTTCCCTTCCGAAAAACATTAGAACATTGACCGAAAATAGAAGTAAAAAACACATTATGCGCACATGCTTCATTTGGATCGCATTTTGTTTGTCGTCAAAATCAGGTCAAATATTGCGTGTTTGAATCAGTTTGATTGAATTTGTTGCATTTTCATTGATTTTTCCACACGTTTCACTGCCAGAGGTCAGGAAGATAAAAAATAATTGGTTTAAGATCACAACTCCTGAATAAAGTTCTTGAGATTTCTCTTAATTTTACGCAAATTATATTATAAAAAAAGTTTTTCGCAAATGATGATTGCCATGGGTTCATCGACTTCGAGCGAAGACTTTTTAATTGCTTTTCAAAGAATCCGTTCATTCATCGTACGCATTTCATACTGATACTTTGTCTCTTTTTTTGATGCGGATAAATCATGTTTGTTTGAATCGGTTTCACCACAACAAACATAACTTGGAATCAACATCATAACTTCAAGAGTTCTTCTAATTAGTTTACTGGCTGCCATTGTCAAATGCGATGAGGAAGTCATTGTCCTTTTTAACGCTTACCTATAAATCGATTTTGCTATCGTGTGCCAGACTGCGCGCAGACTTTTGTGTGTGTGTTGATTAAAAATTAAAGCCATTAACGGGCAAAAACTTCACTTTCAAAAATTGAAGTAACAAAGACTTGCGTCAACTCAACAAACCATTGGAAAAGAAAATGAAATTGTGGAAAAGTTTTCGGTATGGTTTTTTTTTTCGTCTTCCTTTCTCTCACTCGGTGTGTCTGTCTTCGTTGATTTTTGGGGAAATTTGCGTGAAAGTTTGTTGTTTAGCGTAACTTGGGAAAAGGGAATATTCATTCATGAGACAGAGCCAACCCAACACAGAAAGAGAGTAGAAAAAAAAAACACACAAACACAAACTGTGTTCCACTTCCAAGTTCCAACTTTTCACTTTTTTGTTCTTTATTGTTTTCTTCCAACTTTTTTTCAGCTTTCTCTTTCTTGTTTGCGAAGTGTTTTGTTTGGTCTAAATTCAAGGTCATAACTTCTTTCTTAATTTCGGTTTTCCGCCAAAGTTAGTTTTCCAAAGAACGGCAATAAAGACAGCACAAACAATCGCAGTGGCGTGGCGGCGGCAACGGCGCGCTTTTTGACACTTCGATTAGTCTCACCCGAGAAGAAGACTTTGCGAGCGAAAGAGAGAGAGAGAGAGAGAGAGCGAGAAATGAAAACTTCATTTCTGGCCTATATTTCAACGGCAAAGTAATGATCAAGAGTTTTCGCTGAAATGCGGCAAACACTTTAATTCACGGCGTCTGGCTGAACAAAACTTTCGGATGAATTAGTTTGTGCAGTTTTCACAGGGACGTTGACACAACTTGATATTTTTCGTCCCAATTTCATTCGCAAAAATTTACAGGCTAAGTTCATGGGTAAGATAAGAGCTCCATTTCGTGTATCATTTTGAACCACGATCCAACCAATACTTCTAGAGGATGAAAAATCAATAAATTATAAAGAAATATCCAATCGAGCTTATACAATCTGATTTGCGGTACCTATACGTATGTATCGTTTCATAGAAGAAACATATTTTAAACACCCACCAAACTTAAAAATGATCAAATATTGTATTAAATTTCTTTAAAGAAAAATAGTTTGTGGCCGAAAAAATAAGTGTATCTTCGCAGATTCAAAGAGATTGTTCGAAAATCGGCAAACAAAATTTCCACTGCTATGTTTTCAATTGAAATTTTGCTGCATATTTTTCTCAAACATCTTTTTCGTGCCGCATTTTTCAGGTATTTAATTTCGAATTTCATTATAATGAAAAATAATTATTTGCTTGAAATTAGAGGTAGAAATAGATTCAAATTTTCG